CTTTCAAAAAAGGGTTTTTCTCCTGGGAAAAAAAATGAGGCGTACGGGTTCTTTCGAAAAAGGGGTTTTTCCACCCAAAAGAACCCCATCTTGAGTGCAGTTTCTTTTTCAAAAAAAGCGCCCTCGCATGATTATGCAAATGAAGCACAAGATTTGTAAATCTGCGCTTCATTTGAATTTTAGATCGGGCTCATTTACATTCCTTTTTCAGAAGAGTATTGTAGTTTAGACATAGCCCAAGAGCAGCAATCAAAGGAACAAAAGGTCCAAAAATCACATATGAACTTAGCATAAAAGGGACTTTATTTTCCAAGGGTGGGAATTTTCTTCAAGAGGAAAAAGGGGACTCAGCTAAGTTGGGTGGCCATATTTATGTCCCTTCTTGTCACACCCTACCAGTGAAGAGCAAATGCAATTAGTGGGAATTCAAGGCTTGAAGGTCAATGGAAGAAAATAAAATTAACCTATAATGTACTGTACAATACAGCTGCAAAGGAAAAATCAATACAAAACCACAATGACTTCTGGGAATTAAGATGACCAAAAAATAAATAAAAGCTTAACTTGCTGAAATCCTATCAAGATCTCTGCCTTCAGACCACTAAAGATGATGAAGCTTGACCACATAAGCTTGCATACAGAATAGTTAATTCCCTTATAGAATGGAGGTCATTTGCTGACAATTTTTTAACAGCATCAGCAAGAATGCCAAAGCTCTTTCCCCCTTACCCCAAGTATTAATAACATACTACCAACTGCAGACAAATAAGAACAAGATGGATTATTAGAAGCAGGGGCGGATATAGGGCAGGGCGAACGGGGCGGCCGCCCCGGACCCCGCGCTTCAAAGAGCCCTGTGCATGCGCCATGGCGCGCTGTGCATGTGCACGGCGTCACTGTGCATGCACCGTGGCAAAGGGGGGGCCCCGCGGAATTATGCTGCCCGGGGCCCCACAAAACGGTCATCTGCCCCTGATTAGAAGGGAAACAAAAACTAACTGCTTTGAATGCCAAGTTTGAAAAAGTGACAAACATTTTCCTGCAACCATTTCATGTAACAAACATTTATATAGATATCACTTATTAAACTGCACTGCAATAATCTTGGTGAAGATCATCATAGTCCAGGGTGGTGGCAATTTAGAGGATATTATCCAAAGGAATACATTTGAACTGGGAAGAAAAAAAAACCCAAATCAAAAGCAACAAAACAATACAGGTTTCATAAGCATCATGGATTGACATTAGCACCCGTGCAACAGCAATACTGACAAACTGCAGAAGCTTAGAGAAGCCTCAGATTATGCAGATAGTATTTCAAGTGTCACCTATACATATCTAACATTCCACCACAGAAAAAACAAAATGAAAAGCCACGAACCACCTGCAACCCTACAGAACTTACCATAGCCATCATGTCTAAATGATGAAGGGTGTTCTCCCAAAATGGCTTGCCTCTGGCGGCCCTTCCCTCTGTCTAATATACAGGGAAAAAGCAGTTTTAAAAAACCAACAGGTATAGCTAGCTCTCAAATTAAGATATTAGTTTCATTTAATAAGGGGGGAAAAAGTAATTTGATTGAAGGTTAACTTAAAAAAATTACGCATTCAAATCAGTTTTTAAACATAAGCTGTCATCAGAACACACCAAAATTAAGACGACATTATCTGCATAGCAAATTCCACTTGAGGTTTGTTTTTTTGGGGGGGCAAAGAGAAAGTACAGACACTAAATTTATGGGAATACTTGAACATTTTCCTAAACTGCCATTTCGCAATACTACAGGTAACCTGTCAGAGTAGGATTTACCTATGCATGTCTAAAAACAAGTTTTAAATACAGTACTTTTGAAAGACAGTACCTGAATCCTACTATTAGCTTCAACAGCAACACATTTTCAAAGTGGGCTTCTTTCAAGAAGTTTCAGCATAAGCCAACAACAACCTGTATTACATGGTTTCACAATCAGTAAACAGAGAGCATTACATATGTGTACTCTATATTTACACGAACACCTACTGACTTGGAGTGCTGAAAGGATTGTACATTAACATTATTCAAGCTGCATCACAGGTTATAGTTCAATTGCTGTAAAATGTCAGAATAATTCACTTCAACAATGGACAGTCCTTTGAGCAAACCTGTTTTATATAACAATGCAAAGTTAAGCAAGGGATCAACATTACTGGATGGAAACAGTGAACCACTTTCAAAAGGGTCATTTCTAGTTACTGACTGCTGCATACTGAAAAAATGTGAACTCCAAAGTTCTCTTTTGGTAAGCAGGAGTTCATTGTAAAGAGCATTACTCACTGCATTTTGTTCTGGAAGTGTTGTATTCAAAGATGTGGTGAATGTTTAAGTTTGCTATAATTATTATAATACTTGAATATGATTGATGGAAATTGACTCTCCAACCCACTACAACAAACATTTTCCCCTAAGTAATTTGAACCGCTAAGCTAAGCTTAAACTCTATGACAGCATACAATGGGAGATGAGAAATTATGCGGTTTTTGTAGTAAGATGGAGGGCCTGAAACAAAAGCCCATGTAGCACAGGCCTGGTTTGGGGCCTGAGGCCTAAAAATGGACAAAACGTGACTAATATAAAACAAAGCTAAGCTGCAAGCAAGAGGCAGGCCCCTGCGCACAGAACTTGGCACAAAGAGGACTGAGTGTGCAAAACACTAATTGGCAATAGGTCCAGATGTAGAACAGTAACTGGTACTGGTCATAAGTTGAAAGCACATGTCAAAAGGATGGTACCGTCAGCTCGTTAAAAAGACCTTGCTGCCCATACCCACCACAGATACCGACCCAGATTCAAGAAAGGATCTAAAATGATGGCATGGTGGACAGAGATGTCCTAATTCAGTGTTTCTCAAACTGTGCTCTGCGGAGCCACAGGGCTCCTTGAGACATCTCCAGGGGCTCCGCGAGGTCGACAAACTGGAAACATCGATAGGTACAACACACACAATCAGTGGATCGCTGGAGCTCCGCATACATTTTTACACATGTAAAGGGCTCCGGAAACAAAAAAATTTGAGAACCACTGTTCTAATTGAACCACGAGCTGCAGGGTGGTATCTAAGTAGCATCAGAGGGTAGTAACCTGACATGTCAGAAGGGATGTGTATCTTGTTTGACCTCCCACTGACTGAGCTGAGACCATTGTTATGGGTACCTATGAGTCTGCTGACAACTATTACTGTACTTCGCTGAACAATAAACCTGATTTGGCACCTTCGATCCTTATCTGATTTGAGGCCTTTGGGAGCTCTCTCGGGCTACATCTACACTGTAGCCTTCTTGCAGAAAAGCTTATGCAAATGAAATGCGGCGTGGCAAATTGCCATGCTTCATTTGCATAACTAATTAGCAGCCGCTTTTGAGCAAGAGGCTTTTGTGCAAAAAGGAGCTGTATAGACAGCTTCTTTTTGCACAAAACCCCCCTCTTGCGCCAGAGCCGTTCTTCCTCATTTTTTGAGTGTTTTTGTGCAAAAAGGAGCCGTCTACACAGCTTGTTTTTGCGCGAAAGCCTCTTGCGCAAAAATGGCTGCTCATTACTTATGCAAACGAAGCGTGGCAATATTCCACGCCGCACTTTATTTGCATACGCTTTTCCGCAAGAAGGCTACAGTATAGACGTAGCCTAGGTGTTTTGTCTATATAAGGATTACATGAATACACAACATTGCTAAGTACATGTGGAACTGGTTGGTGGCCTAATACTTTTCATCATAAGACCTGTTTTTAATTGCTTACAATTATGCCAAATGTTAACCTTCAGGCTAAAATTGTTTATACTTTCTGCCTTTGATTTTCCTACTGAACTGACTTTCTTGGTAAATTCCAGCCAAAACAGATTACACATTCCTAAGAATGAGGTTAGATAAAAATAGGTAGTTTGGCTGACATTATATCCACCTCCCGCAACATTTTTTGAAGAACTTTCCAGATTCCACATTTCAGAGCAGAAACTTTAAATTTCACAGGGAAATATTTCTGGGATTAGAGAGGCACCTTTTACTTTCTCCAGAAAAATCTACACAGATTTGGCCAAGTTATAGGTCTCTGCCCTTTTCACAAGCTCAGCAGTACTTGTTACAGATTTACTGCTAAATCTCTGAGCATTCTATCTGCACTGAACATGCTCAAATCCCACAATAGCGTGCATGAGGCAAAAGGCATGAACGGCGCAAGATGCGCATTGCACATGCGCGATCACAGAATAGTTAATTCCCTTATAGAATGGAGGTCATTTGCTGACAATTTTTTAACAGCATCAGCAAGAATGCCAAAGCTCTTTCCCCCTTACCCCAAGTATTAATAACATACTACCAACTGCAGACAAATAAGAACAAGATGGATTATTAGAAGCAGGGGCGGATATAGGGCAGGGCGAACGGGGCGGCCGCCCCGGACCCCGCGCTTCAAAGAGCCCTGTGCATGCGCCATGGCGCGCTGTGCATGTGCACGGCGTCACTGTGCATGCACCGTGGCAAAGGGGGGGCCCCGCGGAATTATGCTGCCCGGGGCCCCACAAAACGGTCATCTGCCCCTGATTAGAAGGGAAACAAAAACTAACTGCTTTGAATGCCAAGTTTGAAAAAGTGACAAACATTTTCCTGCAACCATTTCATGTAACAAACATTTATATAGATATCACTTATTAAACTGCACTGTAATAATCTTGGTGAAGATCATCATAGTCCAGGGTGGTGGCAATTTAGAGGATATTATCCAAAGGAATACATTTGAACTGGGAAGAAAAAAAAACCCAAATCAAAAGCAACAAAACAATACAGGTTTCATAAGCATCATGGATTGACATTAGCACCCGTGCAACAGCAATACTGACAAACTGCAGAAGCTTAGAGAAGCCTCAGATTATGCAGATAGTATTTCAAGTGTCACCTATACATATCTAACATTCCACCACAGAAAAAACAAAATGAAAAGCCACGAACCACCTGCAACCCTACAGAACTTACCATAGCCATCATGTCTAAATGATGAAGGGTGTTCTCCCAAAATGGCTTGCCTCTGGCGGCCCTTCCCTCTGTCTAATATACAGGGAAAAAGCAGTTTTAAAAAACCAACAGGTATAGCTAGCTCTCAAATTAAGATATTAGTTTCATTTAATAAGGGGGGAAAAAGTAATTTGATTGAAGGTTAACTTAAAAAAATTACGCATTCAAATCAGTTTTTAAACATAAGCTGTCATCAGAACACACCAAAATTAAGACGACATTATCTGCATAGCAAATTCCACTTGAGGTTTGTTTTTTTGGGGGGGCAAAGAGAAAGTACAGACACTAAATTTATGGGAATACTTGAACATTTTCCTAAACTGCCATTTCGCAATACTACAGGTAACCTGTCAGAGTAGGATTTACCTATGCATGTCTAAAAACAAGTTTTAAATACAGTACTTTTGAAAGACAGTACCTGAATCCTACTATTAGCTTCAACAGCAACACATTTTCAAAGTGGGCTTCTTTCAAGAAGTTTCAGCATAAGCCAACAACAACCTGTATTACATGGTTTCACAATCAGTAAACAGAGAGCATTACATATGTGTACTCTATATTTACACGAACACCTACTGACTTGGAGTGCTGAAAGGATTGTACATTAACATTATTCAAGCTGCATCACAGGTTATAGTTCAATTGCTGTAAAATGTCAGAATAATTCACTTCAACAATGGACAGTCCTTTGAGCAAACCTGTTTTATATAACAATGCAAAGTTAAGCAAGGGATCAACATTACTGGATGGAAACAGTGAACCACTTTCAAAAGGGTCATTTCTAGTTACTGACTGCTGCATACTGAAAAAATGTGAACTCCAAAGTTCTCTTTTGGTAAGCAGGAGTTCATTGTAAAGAGCATTACTCACTGCATTTTGTTCTGGAAGTGTTGTATTCAAAGATGTGGTGAATGTTTAAGTTTGCTATAATTATTATAATACTTGAATATGATTGATGGAAATTGACTCTCCAACCCACTACAACAAACATTTTCCCCTAAGTAATTTGAACCGCTAAGCTAAGCTTAAACTCTATGACAGCATACAATGGGAGATGAGAAATTATGCGGTTTTTGTAGTAAGATGGAGGGCCTGAAACAAAAGCCCATGTAGCACAGGCCTGGTTTGGGGCCTGAGGCCTAAAAATGGACAAAACGTGACTAATATAAAACAAAGCTAAGCTGCAAGCAAGAGGCAGGCCCCTGCGCACAGAACTTGGCACAAAGAGGACTGAGTGTGCAAAACACTAATTGGCAATAGGTCCAGATGTAGAACAGTAACTGGTACTGGTCATAAGTTGAAAGCACATGCCAAAAGGATGGTACCGTCAGCTCGTTAAAAAGACCTTGCTGCCCATACCCACCACAGATACCGACCCAGATTCAAGAAAGGATCTAAAATGATGGCATGGTGGACAGAGATGTCCTAATTCAGTGTTTCTCAAACTGTGCTCTGCGGAGCCACAGGGCTCCTTGAGACATCTCCAGGGGCTCCGCGAGGTCGACAAACTGGAAACATCGATAGGTACAACACACACAATCAGTGGATCGCTGGAGCTCCGCATACATTTTTACACATGTAAAGGGCTCCGGAAACAAAAAAATTTGAGAACCACTGTTCTAATTGAACCACGAGCTGCAGGGTGGTATCTAAGTAGCATCAGAGGGTAGTAACCTGACATGTCAGAAGGGATGTGTATCTTGTTTGACCTCCCACTGACTGAGCTGAGACCATTGTTATGGGTACCTATGAGTCTGCTGACAACTATTACTGTACTTCGCTGAACAATAAACCTGATTTGGCACCTTCGATCCTTATCTGATTTGAGGCCTTTGGGAGCTCTCTCGGGCTACATCTACACTGTAGCCTTCTTGCAGAAAAGCTTATGCAAATGAAATGCGGCGTGGCAAATTGCCATGCTTCATTTGCATAACTAATTAGCAGCCGCTTTTGAGCAAGAGGCTTTTGTGCAAAAAGGAGCTGTATAGACAGCTTCTTTTTGCACAAAACCCCCCTCTTGCACAAGAGCCTGAGGAAGAATGGCTCTTGCACAAGAGGGTTTTTTGCACAAAAAGGAGCGGTCTACACAGCTCCTTTTTGCGCAAAAGCGGCTGCTAATTAATTACTCAAATGAAGCGTGGCGATATTCCATGCCATGCTTCATTTACATCAGCTTTTCCGCAAGAAGGCTACAGTGCAGACATAGCCTCATGGTCTGCCGTGCTGACTAATTGCACAGGTCAACATACACATCACTGAGCACACACAGACGCAGCCTTCTGGCTCTCATCACTTACGGAGCAGGGAAACCATGACAGGAAATCCTAATCTACTACACTGGTGACCCTACTACAGTTTCCACCTAAAATGTTGAGGATAGTTCTTGAGCCAGAGAGTTTAACTGGTCCCAGGGCTAGCTGTGAACGTTCTAACTTTAATAGAGGGAATGCCTATGAAGCACTGGTTTCATAGCAAATGGCACATGCAAAAAAGGTCAGTCCTCTAATGACCAGAAGGAGAAGAGGCCTCTCCTCAGCCAGTTCCTCACACAGCTACCCGATGACAACATACATGCAATCCAAGAACATATTCCTCTCATAGCTGCAGGGATTCCTTAGGAAGCCTGCACAGGGGAAGAATGCTTTTGGAGGAAAAAAAAGAACTTGTGACCATTCATAACCAGAAAGGGTATTTTTAATAACAGAAGCAGGAAAATGCTCTGTCCCATAAAATGAATGGACATGAAGCGGAATCCTGGCTCCACTGAAAACAGTCAAAACGCTCATTGACTTCAGTGGGACCAGGATTTCAACAATGGCCTCAATGCTGTTTAGATGGAACTGTAGAAGAAACTGAAAGGCAAGCAAGCTAGCTTTGAAACAATTGTCTAGATCTTCTGAGAGTTTCGGAAGAGACTGGGGGTACTTCACCCTACAAGAGAACCAAGAAATAAATCAGGGTGGGCTATAATGTTTGGTGGGGGGCACTCCAAGGTTTTGGAAAGTGGTCAAGGACTACACTTTTCTGTGGAGGGTATGAGGGGTCTAGGTTGGGTGCAGAAGGGTGCGTGGGGTAAGGGACTGGGGCGCAAGAGACACTGTGGAGTCAGAGGGTGTTTGGGTGGAGGAGGGGAGTTGGGACCTGGATCAGGGATTGAAGTGTAGGGTGAGGGAGGGAGTGTGGGTGCAGGAAAGGGTTCTGGCCCGGAGGAGGGGCTTACGAGGGGGGTACAGTGTCTGGGAGGGAACGGTCACCCGGGATAGGGGTGCAGAGGGTTTGGATGGTGACCTGGGGAAGGGAGTTGAGGCAGGAAGGGTTGGAGGGCCAGACGCAGGCTCTGTCTGGGAGGAGTTTATGTGTCTCCTGGCGAGCAGGCTGCAGCACCCCCAAGGCAGGCTGGGCTCCCTGCCTGAAAGAATAGTCTGCTCTCTCCATGTGGCTCTCAACTTTGCATGGGGGAAAGAGGCCTGCACTGCCCCAGTCTCTCAAGCCAATCTCTCAGCTCCGATTTGCTGGCTGTTTCCAGTCAATCGAAGCTGACAGATTAGCTGAGGTCATTTCCTATTGGCCAACTGTGTCTGGTCAACAGGAGCTGAGGACAGGCCTGGGAGATCGCACAAAGCCTCCCTCTGCCTGTGGAGCAGGGAGACCCAGGGACTGTGTTTTAAACTGCAGCAGCTGTGTAGCTGTGTGTGCTTGAAGTTCCTGGCAGGGTGGTCCGCAGGCCAGATCCAGCCCTGGGGCCGTATTCTGCCCAGCCCTGAAATAAATGCTGTCTCTTGAGGACTTAGCTGGGGAGTACAGTGGTAAGCCAAGCCACAGAATGAAGTTTCCTGGGGATAAGATCTTATTTGCTGATGCCAGAATCTTGCAGTCTGGGTTGATCAAGTTCAAAGATCAGAACTTTGGGAAGGTGAAAAGCCTGCAGAGTGCATGCTGAACAGTTAGCACATTACATGAAGTATGGAGAAGTAGTAGTGGGAATTGCCAGGGTTACTTTAACAAAATTACTGATTATGGTAAGTAATTGTTCTACATGCCTGCTTCACTGGATAAAAACTGCTCAGGGAGGTATAGTTCATCTATTTATGCACTCCCCTATCTAGTGTCTGGATTGAGCGGTGTGTGTTACAGAAAGAGGAAAATAATGCTACAAAAGGACTGAAGGATAGTACAGATCTTCCCCTCTTACACAGCAGGAAGGGATGTAGTGTCAACATGTAGAGGACAAAGATATTCAAGCCACTGAACTGTTTAAAAAAGGGCAAGAACAGATTTGCCAGTTTTTAGGCAGAAGTTATGCTGGTGAGAAGCTTCTCATCCCCCACTGTTATTTGCTGGAGGAGCCCTTAGTCCATACAGTAGTGTCTGTTTGTAACCTAATTAATTACATAAAGATTATCCAATTTGAAACTAGATGCCATAAACATCAGCCAGAATACAAATTGCAATGGTTAAGAAACTGACAATCCACTTAATTTTGTAGTTTTTTCATTCCTTTCAGTTTCTTTGCTGTCAGCTTCTAAACATTTTTTCTCAATTTTCATTTTCTTTAATACTTCCTGACTACTTACAAGCAAGTTTCTGAATTATGGTTCAAATATTGAAATTCTAACATCAACCAATACAGTAGCTCCCTTGTTAACTTTTTACAAGAACTTCATTTTGAAAATCCAAAACCTGCATTTTAATTATACAACAGTTTTACAAGCCAAACCACTATTGGTAACACCCAACATTTCTACAAAAATATAAGTTTGAGAGTGCACCTCATCAGATACAAGTCAAAGCCCTTCTTTCCATATTTAAGACTTTGAAGATACTCTACCTTGGTTAGACATGTTATGTTTCCACCTTCATGTTACGTACTCCTAGATTTCTAAAGATTACATTATAGAAAAACTATTATTGAATACAAGTCACTGAACACTGCACTGAACAGTTACAAACAGAAAATATTTTAAATACTTTACAGAAGTCAGGCTACATAGCAATTTGTCTTTTACATTTTGAGTCATATTTTCACTATTAAGCAGTAAGTTCTGACTAATTTTCACACTTAGGAACCTAAGAGACAAGATACATGTGCATCAAGTGTGCACTTCCTTGCTTCAAATACTTAAATTTAATTAACTCAAGGGGACTTGTTTAATATTGTACTATTAATCCCAGTTAACTACAGATAAATGTAATCCTTCAGTTTACTTACTATGAGACAATTACACCGTAAAGACTAACTACAGTTATCTTAAATACACGAAGGAATAAGATAAGTATTACAACAATGTAGACGAGATCAACAGGAAGTCTGGGATTCATCATTTTACGGAGGTTCTTAAATGTTGCAATTGTAATTAAGGGAAAGACCACCAATATACATAAACTTGAACAGAATGGGTACAGTCTATCATGATATTCATCCCATGCAAATCTGAAGTACTTTAAGTGTCCTCCTTTAAAAACTTGTGGTGGTGGTGCATGCAGTATGCAGACAAGGTGAATTGCAAGTCTGAGTTTTTTCAGAGGGCTTTTTGCTGATGCCGATGCAGTGCATGATGAAGTGTAGAGTCAGCCTGCTGGAGTCCTCTATCCTTCTTAATGCCTTGTCCAACAAAGGGGGAAAAGTCCTTTCCATAGAGAAGCAGTGTGCAAGTTTGTAGTTTGTAAGGAATCAGTTTCCTCTCCTCCAAAGAGAGAGAGCTGCTTGGAGAAATGCAAGTCCTTATGCTGCGAACATGCTTGCATGTGTGGGCTCCTTGTTGAACTAAATAGCTCATTGTACACCAGTAGGGGGCACTAATGTTCAATGTTACATTTTCCTGGATTACATGTTGGCCTTTGCAAGACAAACTTTCATCAGCAACAGCTTGATGGAAATGACTGTTGCATTACACAAACTAACCATGTATAAAGTAGTGTCATTAGTATAAGCAAACACATCTATAACATATAAAAAACCTACCTCGTCTGCCCAGATATGGTTTAGTGTAGTCCCAACTATCATTGTCGTTTCTAATGACATTAAGTCGAGTTGGCTGTTAAAATTTAAACACAGGGTAAGTCTTGAACTTATGCACTTCATCAGTAAAACAGTTAATAGAGAAGATCAGAGCATTACCCTTGCATATTCAATTTTTAGTGTACAGCATCCTGCATATATATCTGCTCCATTGAGTGCCGCTTTAGCCTTCTGAGCACAGAGAACTGATTCAAACGTCAATATTGTTAAGGATTTTCTTTGTTTTTCCAAAATAATGGTGCAATCCACATTTTAAAGCAGCCTGCAGTTACTTGGTTAGCAATCAATGACACATTTAAACAAGCACACTAAACTGCTGAAAAGCACTGGCAGTCCAAGTTCTCAGCTGCAGCCTGTGCTACCTTCCTTTGAAGTGTATGCAGTCCAGGTTGAGCTGTCTGATGATTCAAGAACAAACTCATTCTGCTTACAGTCTATGCAGGTTCAGGGAAAGCCCTAGTTTATTCACAGGTCTCTCCTGTGCTAAGAGCTTATCCTGCTTCGAAATAATGGGCACCCTACAGCTTACAATGAAACAGAAGTGGCCATTCAACTGATTGTAAGAGCTTGTCTACATGAACACTGAGTTTATGGCAACCTATGATGTAAATGTATCTTGCTGCACACTATTGCGTGTGAACCCTGCTTATCCACCTCCACCATTTGTTAATGCACGTCAGCTGGGTTCATAGACACTGTGACAAGCTATTACATTCACATCCCAGCTTTCTACAAACTAAATGTTTGTGCAGACAAGCATGAAGTTACCAACAAATTTGGTGCATGACTGTGCCATGATAAGCAAGGACAAAGTTCAAACTAAATCCTTGAACAAGAAGGTCAGAATTGATGTCTCCCCATACTACTACTAAAACCAGGGGTGGAAGGTTAGGTCAGGACAGACTTGAACTATCACCCTAGCATGGAAGGGACGAGGATCTAGAAAGGGAGAGACTTGAGTAGTTATTTCCAAAAGAAATTCTATCACTGAACCAAGGAAAAGAAGTTTGAGAAAGACTTGTGTTAAACAACATGTTAGTTAAATATTCTGTTTGTAGATGGACAAGCAATGGACATTTTTGATAAGACACTGTATTTGTGGCGTGAGATTAAAGAGAATTGTGCTTTATCTTCATTGCCGTGCTGTGGAGATACAGCCTGCAGGACTAGTGTCCTTACAATATGCTAGACTAGATAGATGAAAAAAATCATATTTACGTATTTTGAGATTTTGTTCTCTGGAGACTAGCACAGGAGCATATCAAATGCCTACAGAGACTCCAGATGATGGCTTGTGTCAGGGTGTCCCAATGCCCTGACTCCTAGCACCTGTGTTCAGTGGCCTGCTATGCCAGATGGCCTAGATTCCGCAGCAGAGTAGACCAGAGATAGCCTGCAGCATCTTCGTAATGAGGAACGGACTTAACACAACATGTTTCCAAATGCACTAAAATGATTAGCCTGTCACATTCATCACAAGGGTCACTTTTAGCACAGTATCTAAAAACAATGAAAAGAAGTGATCTAAAAGTGGTAATATTTTGGTGCCAATTCATTTGCTACATAAACTGAAAATGACAAAGCATCTTCAACCAAATAACTGTCAAATCTGTAGAACTCAAGATTAACATAAAATCTCACTCATAATATGCATGCTTAAGTCTCATTTGTAGCAGAGAACAAAAAAAATCAGTATCAATAAAAAGGATATTCAACCATTGCTTGTATTCCATTTCTCTTGAATATAACAATACGTTGTACTTTCCCAACAGGGTTGCACACAGTATACAAGACATCCTATAAATGTAGAAGAAAAGTTATTTTAGTGAGATATTTCAAGTTTGACATTTTCATGAAGGTTCAAAAGGGACGTCAAGGTATGTGTGTGTGTTCATGGAGTAATTTTTACTATATCTACATTTAAATCTCAAAGAAGGATGAATAAACCCAGTTATTTATCAAATTATAGCTATTTTAAATATATATAAAAAGGAATGTTAATCTTAAAAGATGTTTTTCCTTATGTTGCTGTATCACAATCAAGAGCAGTCGACTCCTTCAAACGAAGATTGAAAACACACATTTTCTAGAATACAGAATCTCTCAAGCAGGGGTTCTCAAACTGGGGGTTGTGAACCCTCATGGACATACAGGATTATTACTTGGGCATCACGAGCTGTTAGATCAAAATGAAATTTGGAATCCTTGTATTTAATCTATAGAGGGTGTCACACACAGAGGCATGCTGTGTAAAAAGGTTGGCCAATACAAGGTTGATGAGAGTGCTTCCTTAAGTAGTTCTCAAATAAGTATTAGTCCATGCTGTAGGATGTAGCTCAAGCCACAGAAGGAGGAGAGCTCCTTTCTCTACAGCATATTTCTGTATAATATCATTGGCAAACAGATTCATGACTCAGATCTCTCTCCCCTCAGTTCCTTCCTTTCTTTCGTGCAAACTATAATTTTTACGCAGCCTGACTCATCCCAACATGGCTAATACTGATCTCAATCCCACCCCCAAATGCTCTCCACTACCTCCTCTCTCAGTCACTGTGGACACCACCACCATCATGGCTTGCCACTCAGGCCTGTCACCTGAGCTTCATGTTCAACACAGACCTCTAGCTCCTCACATTCAGCCTGTATCAATCATGCCAGTTCTTTATGCACTCTCTCTCTAAGACATGGCCTGCCTTATCTACCCACATAGCTATAATTTTCATCCCAAGATCTCATCTTGACAGCTGCAACTTCCTTTTCTCTGGTTGACCAATGCAACCTAGCTCTTCGGCCATCTATTCAGAATACCGTTGCAAAGATTTTCTTAGTCACTGTTTTGATTGTATCACCCGCTTTCACATCCCTCCATTGACTCTTCCTCCTCCATTACATCAAATAGAAGTTGCTTGATCTTCACTTTCAAGGCCCTTTATAGCCTAATTTTCTGTTTAGATATTAACTTCTATCACTGATTGGCCCCTCTTGTTAAATTTTCAAAACAAGCATCTCCATGATTTCTCGCATGCTGCTCCTAACATCCAGGAGGAATTCCGTATAAACTGCAAAATTAACTCATTAGTTTCCTTCAAAACTCTCCTCTGTTGTGATGCTCGTAAAATCTTGACCATGGATAGGTTGCTGGTGTGCCGGGATGTTATGCTAATCAACACAGATTGTTTCCTTGTAACTCACCTTTCTGTAGACTCGTTTTATACTGGGTCATAAGCTCTTTGGGACACGGACCATATTTTTGTTCTGTTTGTACAGCACTTAACACAATCAGTCTGGAGTTCTGATCCATGAGTAGGGCTCTTAGGCATGATGAATACATAACTAAAAATATATTTACCCAAACCAAAGTATCAGCAAGTGGCTCTTCTGCCCTATCATTGGATGCAGAGAAAGCCTTTGGACTGCAAGAATTGTGTTTTTGTAGTGCTAAAGCATGTTGTCCTTCATAGTTTAATTCATATTTTATAAAAGCTGCATCTTCATCCCCAATCTTTGATAGTAGTGAAAAGAACTTCAGTTTCATCTCCGGAAAGGGGAAAGACACAAATTAATGGGCATCCGGAATTTTCACTACACTCTGCATGAGATCTTGCACCCAGGAGAGTGCAATATGTCGAAGTATCAAAAGTAAAGAGGGCTACATTATGTGGCAACATACTGAGACATATGACAAAACCCAGATAATTTATTGCCTTGGCTTCTAATCTAGTAGATCAATCTATGGCTAGAAATAAGGCAGTTAAGCAGTGAAGCAACATCCATGGTCAAGATTCCTGGTCTTCATGTCCTATAATGGGAATAAAAAGAAACTGGGATTTTTTTAGAATCTGATTGTCTAAGTAGTTTTAACTTGCAAGTTAAGTTTTAGTAATCATTGATGGATCACTCAATTTCCTGTTCTGTTCATTCCTTCTGAAGCAGATGAAATTAGCTGCTGTCAGAAGACACTGGGCTAGAGGGATCCTTAGTATGACCCACTGTGGCTGTTCCTACGTTTTCAGAAGATTGCCCAATAGGGTTAAGTGTAGAGCTGAGAAAAACAAGTCTTCAAAGACATTGAATAGCAGCTGTGCTCATCTTCACAGGTGTTTTGCAATGTCTAAAAGATTCAGTGGTCTGGATTTTGAAATACTAAATTTCTACATACTTTTTAAAGGACACCCTGAAAGTATTTCTATAACAAGTGGAATGCCATTCAGTTTTAAGCCGTTAGAAATATTTATGATTGAGAGAGTTATGTTGGACTGTTTTCTGCTCATACTAACTTGCTCTGGTAGTTGCCCTGAGCAAATATTAATATAGTGGCCTTGAGCAAATATTATTAAAAATGTACTGCATTTTATGAGTGCACAAGCAAGCAGCAGCTAGTTTCAGAGGAAAAGGGCAAGGTTAACCATGAAAAAAAATTAAAAGAAGAGTCAAGAATATTTGGCACTAATCAGTCAAACCTGTAAGCTAAATTGTTTTACTTTCTGCAAGTATTACCAGGTTTGGCTATACATCCAGTGTCTTATAAACTGTACCCTCGTGCATCCGAAGCACTAACTGCATCTCTGAAGAAGTCTGATGTACATCCTCAACCTGAATTCTCTGTTGCAATGAAGATTACAGCAAAACTGACTGCATATTAAAAAGCATAAACAAACACCCATAATTCTTTGGCTCACATGAAAATATATATATCACAATAAAAAGTATATATACACTGAAAGCAAAATTGAAAGGGTTTTAAAAAAATGTTTAAGAAACATACCACTGTAATTGGGTAGAGAGGATTTTGAATCGATAGTAGAAGAACTTTATTTCCGCCTGATGGATCATCCGTGTTCCCTGGCCGAGTGATCCTTTTGCTTGTAGAGTAGTTGAAAAAAGCTTGCTGTCCAGCTATATATACTGGCTCATCTGCTGCAAATGTCACACACTTCTTGGCACTTTCTATATTTTCAAACTCCACCAAAGCCTGGCGTTTAAATGGCATCATCATGACATAACTGGGCAGTAGACAAACACCAGAATAAGTTCTCCTAGTATACTTTTTCTTAAGATCACTTGTCAAACGAAACAATGTTAATTTAAAAAAAATTCCCTAGTGCAAGATGTCCGGTCTCCTTTCATAAATCAGTTACTTTCATTCTATTCCCTAAACCAAGTCATGTATCCATAAAGTATGTCTGCACAAAAAATTAAACCAGCACAAGCAGTATTTTCAAAATATAGAGTTAAACATTAGTCTAAGTAAAGCTTGTCATGTTCACAATTAGCTGATATGAAGGATATAATAACCCTGCTAGAACTATGGGTAGCTGAAGATTTTACTTCGAAACCAAAATGTTTTACTAACTACAGTTTAAAAAGGTCACAGTCAAGAGAAAAAAAAAACCTGCAAAAATAGCTCAAATCTTCGACACTGTATAAGAGTGGGAGAAACCTATAATTCTACCATAATTATTCTTATAGTTAAAAATTGAAAGCCTGGCTGCAGACATGAAAAGTTGAACATAAAATAACAAGATTTTATTTTATTGGCCTTCTTGTATACAGAAAGCACCGTGTCTGCAGTTAGAGACATTGTCAAGAAATTCAGTTTTCCTGTGCTAGTGACTTAATTATTGATATGAATGGCCAATTTGAGATTAGGAATTTCACAATCAGTTTATCAGAGCATTTAGCTTTGTTCTCAAAAGCAATCCTACCACCAAAGCTCCCAACCTGCCTTGAGCCACCAGAGACATGGTTTTATTTTGGTCAACATACCATATGGTTCCAAATTTTTCAAGAGCCTCCACAAGATCCGCTTCTACAACTGATTCACAAAGTCCTCGGACATGCACGACAGGAGAAACGGAAACTTTGTGATGACTTCCACCCACATCCTAACAAAAGCACAAAAACATTTCTAATTTATACCAGAATTTGAAACATAGCTATTGTTAACTAAGTATAAGTAAATACCTGACTTCCCACCCAGCAAAAGTGCCTCCATCCACAAGATCTAACAAGTCTGTCTCTCTTTCTCTCTCAGCAAGCATGTTGCTGAGCTGCATATTGAGATTCTCTTAAAAATTAACCAAGACGGGAGTTTCCAAATTTGGTCTCCTGCATTAATAAGACCTTTTCTATACTAGGAAGCGAACCATAATTTTACAAAGATTTCTGCTCTGAGATACTATTTTCCTCAACAGTTCAGGACAGCGTATCCATACGAGCACAGTAAAGGCTGAATGATTTTTTCATAGTCTTCCAATCTAGTTAAAGCCAATTTTAGTTGGTGATGCACAGAGAGGACAAAGGGATCCATTACTGTAATGTGAACCAACATTTTCAACAAAGGTTTACACTTTGAACATACAAATTCACGGAAACTGACTGCATGTTTAACACAGATGTGGTTGTATCGCTGTTTATATAATTAGTTGTACAGTAACTGCATTGCGCATGTGTTTCTTATAAAAGCAAGATTTGTAACTGCTCTTTACATCCAGAGTTCTTCTCTCTTGAACTGAGTTTCAACAACATTTTCTCACATTACAAAGGAAAAAAACCAAACTGAATACAGGTTCTGTATTTTATGTAATTATGACCTTCTCTAATCACTGAGGGTTACACCTGCACAATCAGAACTATACCTAGGGAGCTGGCACTTAACCTCCCGCCCCCCCAAGGTATTATATATTTTATATCCTGGTTTTGATCCTACTGGGTATTTGCATATCCCCTCTGTGATAAACTACGTGAAAAGATTCAGGGTCTTGAGGACATAGCTTTAAGATCTGAAAATTATGCTATCAAAGAATTTCATTACTCAACTAATTCCTTCACTATCACCCTCCTCCCCCACAAAATGGCCTGCACTAAGAACTATATATGGCAAATCATTAGCACAAACACAGTCAACTTTCCTTTAAGAACAATTATTATGTTTATGCACAGCAATATTCGAAGTGGTAGTTTTTAGTTAATCTTTCCCTGTGCATCTCTGAGGTAAGAACAAGCATGGTAAATTTCCACCTAAAAACAGAAAAGATTAATAAAGGAGGGAACCTGACATATTGAAGGCATACTAAATAAGTTGTGACAAACAGCTATGGTGATCAACTCCTGCCACATTGCAGATTAGTGCCATGTGAAGTTAACCAGTGTAACTGTAACCAGCTCTATTTTATGGAAATATATCCATGCAGAAGTATAATGTCTTCCAACTACAGAGTAGACAACTTCACCTGGGGTCTTCACCCCTCCCCTCAGGATATAAGCACTTAAACGTTATGTAAATTGGCTTCTAAGACTGTCTTTCTTACAGTTCAAGCAGTTCTTCTTTTCCTTTCCTACAATCTTTTATTGAGCTTGCAAATTCATGGAAATTGATTTAAACAGACATGGGTTTGCAGTGGTTTATATACTTATTTGTACTCAGGTGTGCACTAACTACATTGAACATGAGTTTCTTGCAAAAGCAAGATCTGTAATGTGTCTCTACTGCCAGAGTTCTGAATAAATGATTCTGAGCTGTTATTGCCAAGATTACTGTCCTCAGTATCTGCAGTTACAATCTGAAAATGGCTTTGGCACTGAAATTGTTATAAGCAACCCCAGAATTCGCAAACTTTAAATTAGCCAGTGAATAAATTACTTTGAAACTAAGTATCTACAACAATCTGCTACTAAAACTAAGATTTCAAAAACAACAAGAAATCCTGTGGCACCTTAGAGACTAACAGATTTATTAGGGCATAAGTTTTCCTGGGTAAAACCCACTTCATCAGATGAGTTGGGAGTGGAAATTATGGAGGCAGGGGTATACAGGCAGTCCCCGAGTTACACGGATCCGACTTACGTGGGATCCGCAGTTACGAACAGGGCCCTTCCTCTCCCTGGTCTCCAGCAGACCAGGGAGAGGAAGCAAAGCAGCGGAATCAGCCGGGCTTCCTGGAATCAGCCGCTGATCAGTTACAGCAGCAGCTGACTTGGGGATGCCTGGGTTCTTAAGTTGAATCTGTATGTAAGTCAGAACTGGCGTCCAGATTCGGCCGCTGTTGAAACTGATCAGTTTCAGCAGCGGCTGAATCTGGACGCCAGTTCCGACTTACATACAGATTCAACTTAAGAACAAACCTACAGTCCCTATCTTGTACGTAACCCAGGGACTGCCTGTACATAGGAATCATAGGGCTGGAAGAACCTCAAGAAGTCATTGACTCCAACCCCCTACCCAAAGCTGGACTGATCCTAACTCATCCCAGCCAGGGCTCTGTCAAGCTGGGACTTAAAAACCTCTAGGGATGGAGAGTCTACCCCCCGTCCCCCAGGTAACCCATTCCAGTGCTTCACCACTCTCCTAGTAAAATAGTTTTTACTAATATCCAACCTAGACCTCCCCCAAAAAGCAGTTACTTGTATGACTTCTTTGCAGCCTGGTGCCAGTAATTTTCCTGGAATGACTTTGCAGGGCAGAGGGATTCAGGACTGTTTGAGGGGAAGGATATTTCCTGGAGGTGGTAAACTTGAAAAGTAAATTTTCTGGTTGTGTAGCATTCATTCTGGAGTAAAATCCTGCCTCTAATTTCCACTCCAACTAATCTGATGAAGTGGGTTTTACTCACAAAAGCATATGCCCTAATAAATCTGTTAGTCTCTAAGGTGCCAAAGGACTCATTGTTTTTGAAATCTTAGTTTTAGTAGCAGATTGTTGTAGATACTTGCAAGATTATATTGTTTTAAACTGAAACAAGTGTTCTTTGAAGGTGAGTGGTGGTGGCGGCGGCGGCAAGAGAAGAGCACCAACTATATTTGCATAAATCACAACATATTTCCTGAATTATCTTTGAGGTCTAAAGCTACAGTTACAGAATTAAACAGGAGTTTATTATGCTTTCAGCTGCAGATATTTAAAGAAGATGGAGAGCTGAGGAAAGACAGTAGTTTCTATTTTCCCTTTCTCTTTTCTTTGTTCTGTCCTCTCCTGATGGTTGGTAGCAAATCTACTTGCATTTCCATCACGGAGGGCACCATCCATTTCCTCTTTCTGCAATGGCAAAAGCAGGTTGGCTGACTCCTTGTTTCCCACTTTCCAGGTAAGTCACTGGGCTGCAAGTGATCTACAGACTACAGTTTTGGCACCATACACTCCCCTTCCTCAATTGTTGTTCTGGACGTTAAGCACAAAAAATACTAAGTAAAGAAGAATCCTAAGGATGCTCATGCATTTAGTTTTAGGGCTGTCTAGGTTGCAGTGATAAATATCTAAAAACAGATTTACAGGTAATGAGTATTTTAAGAGAGCACAGGCAGCAACAGAGGCTTTGGACTGGTCTACACAAGCAAACAGTAACAACCGAAAACCATATTGATACAAACCACTAACCATGTGGATGCAGTTTGCCCATACAGGAAGGGAAATAAGCTAAACTGGTATAAGCTAAACTGGTATAAGGCACTTTCATTCCACTATTACAGCATTCATATTAAATTACGTAGCACCTTAAGAGACTAACAAATATATAAATAGTATTGTGAATTCTCATAGACAAAACCCACTTCAGATGAGTTTGAGTGGGTTTTGCTCATGATACTATATATTTTGTTAGTCTACGGTGCCACAGCACTACTTGTTTTTAAAGTTACAGACTAACATGGCTACCCCTCAGACATGATATGGCTCCCCCCGTAAACTTGGAAGGAATAAATAAATAGTAAATGTCAGTTAATGTTCATTTCACTGTACACACAAGCCGATTTTAATATATTTCCATCAACAGTAACTTTGAAATTACAAATAGGCAAAGAAAGAAAAATGCCACAAGAATTTGAGAGTTTGATTTAAGGAGATTTTCTTTGTATATTTCAAGTATAAGTGTTGATGCTTGACTCAAGGGCAGCCAAAGATAGGCTTCTGATGCTTGCCTGCGACCCTGGGAACTGATGATAAGGTGTGCTGTCTGCCCAGGGCTTTTCCTGTTCATCTGGAGAGAAGAAATTAAAGTCATGGCTAAAGCAGTCACTGAGGAGCACTGCAGGACACCTCCGGAAGGCCAAGAACACTGACTTTCAAAGCACTGTGTCTGCACAACTGCCAATTCAACAACGCAAGCTTGAATTCTGTGGTAACTCCTTGTGAGTCGCGCAAAAATCGACTTTAATAGCCCTTAAAGTCTGGAACGGGTTTGGTGGTGTGGACTTGCTGTTTAGAAAATCAACTTAATGCAGCTAAGTTCAACCTAGACTCCTAGTGTAGACCAGGCCGCACTCCTTCCTTTTGATATGCTAGTGAACACACACACATGCGCACACTCCCCCATCCTCCACAAAATCTGTTAGTCTTTAAGGTGCCATAGGATTCTTCATAGCAAGGATTTTTAATTTAATCCATAACCTTGGAGGGGGGGGGGGGGGGTCATATCCTATGACTGGAGAATTACCAATAAAGTATCAATTTTTAAGGAAGGGGGAAAAGTGTTCTGGAACTCCACAGGCCCATTAATTTGACTACAGATGTTAACGTGCACTTGTGTACATGGTTAACCAATAAGCTTGGGCTCATTAGTTAATCTGCATGGTTGCAGGCACCCACCCCCACTGACTCTGTATCAGAGGCAGCAGGGTGCAGGGGGGAAGGGTGCACATGGGAAGCTGGCTTTTAATAGTCTTGGCAGAAGAAGCGGGAGCATACTAATAAAATTTGCAGATAGAAAAAAAACTAGGAAGTACTGACAATACAGAAGACTGGAATATTATGTAAGATGATCTGGAGGACCGTGAAAACTGCAATGAGTAAAAAAGGGGATGAAACTGAATACAGGTAGTCCCCGGGTTACGCGGATCCGACTTATGTCTACGGCAACCCAGCTGTGGGCAGGGGCTGCTTCACAGCA